ATACAACAAGTACAATTGAATCATTAGTTCATTCAAACACCACAATTTATCAGTCTCTTAAGAGGAAACTTGATATATTCTTAAGGACTAAGGATGGTATCTTACTATCACTTACCAACTTTTTTCTTCTTTTATCGGTAATACGATTAGGTTCCTGCCTGAAGGTATTGGTGATGTAGTGGCATTGGGCTCTAATCACACAATCTTCAAAGCTGAATGGGAGACAATTGGGAAAATAGATGTTCAACATTTAACACGGAGGAAAACCCAAAGATGGAGAAGGCGGGAAGAATGAATTGAATTTATTCGAGTTGATCGGATGGCATGATTCGACCTTGCAGGTGTGGTCCCTGCTGAATGTTACCTTATATCTCTTATTCATATTAAATATATTGTTCTGTCTCTAGCCTAAGCTTGTTCTCCATGATGTATTGGTAATTGTTATGATGCAATGGGTTGGTGTAGACGATGACGCAACTTCCACGTAAGATCATATAGATTAGGCAGTTATATCATAACAAACCAACAATTTTAGGATGAGGTCTATTATTAGGGCAGTATTAATATCATATTAGACTATAATTCCACAGTGATCTATTGTTACTAGACACGGAAGTACGTTAAGCGAAAGCTTCTTCTATTCCGTCCACAACCATTTTGAACCATTTTTTACGAGTTGATTTAAGGCAGATCACCCTGGAAAACGGGAAGTAACTGGACAGCCGTTCTGGCCTATTATGGGACTCCTCAGCAGTGCGCGTCCAATATCCTGCACGCGGGATTCGAACCCTGTACTGCTACTACATTTTCCACAAACCGTCATTCTGATAATAACATTTGTTAACAACTTAAGTAACTTAAAGTATTATTAATCTCAAGGAAATGAACTTCGTCATACGTATTAGTTTCGTGCTGATAAGAATTACTAGGATTCAGTGGAAAAGTAGAAAATGAGAAACGATAACTAGCATGTCCAAAACTTTGATACGAATACATTTATGTGTTCACGATCTTTTCCTATCTCCAAAAGTCGATTTATTCCTAGCCAACATAGTTCATTCTGGATGGATTTGGAAATTTCCATATCATATAGTATAAGCAAAATGTCCTTTTAGAATGCTTACATGTGTATGTGTGTGCCTGTCTGTGAAAATGTCTTCAAGTATCTGTAAATTATAACAGTAGCACTTTCCACTACTCTGAAAAGCAAGATTATTCATTTTAGCACATTCATTTGCATATTTCGTTTATTTGTTGGTAACAGATAAGTTCTTATCACTTACTTTATCAGCGAGTTTATTCTTCTTAATGTATCATCCCGTAATGATTATATATCTTTTGAAATCTGAATGTAGGGGCTGTGACATTACGCTTTTGTGTTCGAAGTGATACTGCTTAAACCGACAGCTTGGATTACTGTTTACCGCTAGGTAAACAATCATAGACTTTGTGATGTCTTCCTCTCTTAACAAGTTACTAGTTTGTATTCTTCTCACGCATAAATACCAAATATATTTTTAACTTGATAAAACAACTTCGTCAAATAACTATGTAAGTTGTATAACCTAGTAACGCTATTTATTTAAGTATATTTGCATCATATTTATAATCTTTATGATTAGAACCGTGTCCAATCCAAACATTAGGTTTTGCATTTGTCCGTAGGAAGGAAACAGTATCTGACATTTCACTGGAGTTTATATCAAATACAAACAATTACTCTATACTCTCCGGATTCTATCTTAGCACAGGAGAACTATGTGTACATATTATGGACACTAAATCTGATGTACTGAAAAATGAAGAGCACAATGATTATTATCAGTTAAATCAAAAGATGTGCTCAGTTATGATGACTCAATAAATATAGGAGCATATATGCCGGCGAGTTCAAAAACATCGATTGTAAGGAAGGAGAAAAACTCACAGTTTTGTTTCCAGAGCATTCCATAATGCACTATTTAGTTGAAAGAGACGATAGGATAACGTGAGGTTTACAGATCGGCTATCTGAAGGAGGTAAATGTAGTACTTGTACAAACTAATGATTAATTTGTATATGATTGTTCATGATTAAGGATTTCAAATAAAATATAGTCATTTACGCCCATCTAGTTCTATCCGCCTTAAATTGCAGTATTTGAGAAATTCTTAGTTAGTACTTGAATTCGAATACTCATTATCATACTGGCAGTGCCATGGACTATTGCTTTGAGTGTCCGTGACTGAATCAGCACAACAGTGCAAAACACATTCAACATACTGACTACATACCTCAACAAACGGTACAAGATAAACCTGTTAATACTGAAGACCATTTATTGGTTCAATTTTTACCTGTGGAACATCTAAATCCCATTAGAAAAACGCGTCGATACTTTGGGTGTATAATCGGTGTCGTAAAAAAAGTAGGACTGTCAATCTGAAACGTAGAATTTTGGTCTATTTTTCAGAGTCGGATAATTTATCCATTACTCCTGATAGTATTTTGTGTTTAGATGATCGGGTTTTTATTCCTCCTTCATTACGTAAATCTGTCCTTGAAGATCTTCATAGTGGACATCTGGGAGTTACGAATATGAAATCAATCTCAGTGGCGACATTTTGAATGGCCCTTCTCTGATAAACAGGAATCTGCTTTATGACTAATGAGACGACAATCGCAGCACTTATTATTCTTGAACGAGCTTAATTTTACAAAATGTCATTTATTGTAAATCGTTAGCATTCTCGATTTACTAATCCAGCATTGGTGGGATTGTAGTGACCTACTTTTATCAATACAACGCAGTTGGTTTAATGGAAACAATTATTTTATAACCAGTTGTACCAGTGATTGTTTTACTGCACTTGTTTGTTCAACTGTACTAAAGACATCATTCCTTCCGTTGATTGTGACCTTGCACACACTGACGTTTGCTCAGTGATTCCGCTTGAACTCGTTTGGCACGATCTCGGTATTCTTTAGATACCACGAGATCTCCAACAAATATATCTCGCTACAATCTTTAATCGCCTTCTGATATAATATATATATACCTTCAAACGATAGGTTAACTGGTTTAATCTTGAGGCTAGAATGCGTGAATCCGGAGTGATACTTACCGCCCTGTGTAGAAAGACGAGAACTACTCCACCATATAACTGGTTGACAAGCGAAAGCTAGAGGGAGAAGACAAGTAAAATGGAACACCACTCGATTTACTTTCGATTCCGGTCCAGATTAGTGCATAAGAAAGATGAGCAAACAAATAAACAACATGACCACAATGCACAAACAATTAGAAAAGTACAGTTATGTCCAAAACTGGACACTAGGGTAGAAAAATAGCGTACCAAATGCTAAGTTTCAAATATAATGGCTTGGAACAGAAAAGGGTATGGTAGTGAATCATACATCAAAAGAAAGCTCATGGTTTGTGGAGTAAACTAGGGACAAAAACAAATATTATTGTTTTACAAACTCTGAAGTAAGTGTAACAACGCTTCTTTTGTTTGTCATGGCTTCTTTGTTTCTCTGTTCACATCCGGTCCCTATATTATTACTGACTGATACTGTATATCACTTTACCGCATACACAGTCACTATCTGGTTGGATGGTATGGTGTACAGACATCTGTTCACTGCTATCACAAACCCTTGTTCTAATGGTCAGGCAGAAAATTTCGTCAGGACGCTGAAAGCTGTTGTTAATGTAATTCCTGCTTCAACGTTTAATGAACTGAAGGGAAAAGTAGACAGGTTTCTGCTGCGATAAAGAAAATCTAAATATTACATGCCGAATGAGAACACGTCAAGGCTATTAAAAGGAAGGATTCTTCGTCCAAATATGAGGTAGAGTTTGCAGCCAAGGGGATTGTGGGGAAGAAAGTTGGTAAATCTATGGTTCAGATTTTAGATATCAATGATTTTAACACATACAACTGACAGGTTGATCAGATAGAATTCAAGGTATCAGTTCAGTCTTTTCAAATTTCAGTTATTAATTCTAGTACTAATGAGTATATTCTAGATTATATGGGGTCTACATCTAATAAACAGTCAGACAAGCGCATGATTAACATAAGGAGATAAAGTAGAATGAATTACAGAAATTCGAATCCCCAGTTAAGCTGTGGAGGTTGTGGAATTTGTACAAACTAATGATTAATTTGTACTTGGTTGACTATTTATTACTCATTTCAAATACAAAAAGTTCATTTATACACATCTAGTTCTATTCACCTTAAGTTGTAGCATTTCGAGAATTCTTAGTTAGTACATTAGTTCGAAAAACTTCAAGTATTCATAGTAAATCTTAAATTATCGTCCTATCTTCGTCTAGATGTGATGTTTAACCAATACCCTTCATGTAGTAGTGTCCATTAGAATTACCAATATAATTATCAGTATCTGTTGTTCGTCTAGCCACCTAATTCAGGGAGTTATATATCACTGGGGTTAGATTTGTAAGCGAAGCAGTTGAAAATTAGATGTATACGTATAGATCATTTGTAATTTTGTTTCGTACCAGCCATCGTTAAATTTCAACGAAGTCGTACCCTTATCCTACCATGTGATGTGAGAAAGACATGAAAGAAGCTGGATGACCAGATTTTTTCTCAGCGTCACATACATAAAGGTTGGAAAAAATTTGGTTTTACAGTTTCGAAACAACGTCTGGATTATCGAGTTAAACTTACTCTATCTTTGCTTCAAAAATCGTAAGATATATACTAAAAGATTTACCTAACAGAGATACTCTGCCGTTGATTCTGGTCTTTCGTCCAAAGGGTCTTTCAGGAGTCGTTTTCTGAACATCGCCTTGAGATAAACAATATGTGTACATTGCAGACAATACGGTTCAATAATCACTGAAAAGTTAGAATAAAATTATTCTTTTTATTATATTTCTGATCAAAATAAATGCAGTAGTCGTCATTCTATGATACAATTATTTCTCGATGTTATTCTTGTGCTTTACATTTTTTACTTGTTTTAATCCTCTAGAGAAGACTCAAGTTTTTGTTACTTTTTAAAATATTTTTGGCAGTTCGCGCTTAAATTGTGACAGGTTTGACATTCTATTTTTTTAATACTTCTACATTTTTTCACTTTTCTGGATATAACAGTGGCTTTCACACAGATTAGTTACTTGTTCTTAAACGTGATCCTGGTCGTTCGCCATGTGCTATAACATTATCGTATGAAAAAAGCAATATAAATAGCATGATTTGTAGATAACTCCACAAAAGAGAGGATTTTTATGATTATAGTGAAAGCTACTTATTCTTACATATATCGTCCAGTGCGTCATTTAAAAAGCATGTATGTGACACAAAGTAGGTGGTTTATCTAAAAGTGAATCTGTTTTATCGAAAATGTATTCTGGTAGTGTATCCTATTCATAGTGTAATAAGAATAACAATGCATAATTTTTATATGAATTCAAATAAGAACTATTTTCAGGAACCTTTAAAATATTTCATTCAAACTTCGGGTAATTGATGTTCACAAACATACTAGAAATGGAAATTAAAACAAGCACTAGTAAAGTGAAGAGAATATTTTCTAAAAATAAACCGAGATAAATTAAAAACACTCTAACAAAGTCTTCTTTTTTCATGCCATTAGGGGATAATGATAAATTACCCCTTTTTGCCTCACTGGGTTTGGAATGTTACTGGATTTGCGTCAAACTGTTTACATTTTGCTTAAATATACTGTAGATTTTTCAGTTTTTGCCTCTATTTGCACAGAGGCTACGGAAAATCATATGCTTCAAGACTGAATGTCTACTGTGTTCGTCAACAAACGTTTAGACATTGTGGATTGTATTTAAAAAAATATATTTGGTCAAAAACATTTAAAGAAAATAAAACTACAGTTTTCGAGAATAGTAATAACATACGGTTAATTTTTTTTCACATCTTTGTAAATCTAAAGTTCCACGTAGTTTCAACGTAGCACATGTGAAAGAAAATACTAATGCATAGATAGTCAACGGTTTATTAGAGAGTTATGGTTAATATATAAAGAATTCTATGAGATACTCCCCGTCAGAACTCTTCTATTGCTCTTCAGAATCATAAAAACTATCATATGGATTCTGAGATTAAATAAACACTAGCACTTACGATCATGTTAAGCTGCTATATTTTTTTTGCCAACAACTGATACCATTAAGTGAGACTTACGGCATCGATGATTGACATGAAACACTTCACCTATATAACATCAGCCAAAGGTTATTATTTCAAACTATTTCTCACATTATCTTCCTTCTTTTACAATGATTTAGAAGCTTATCTCTCACAGTGTAAACAATCTCGCGTTGCTATATCATACATATTCCCGAGGTCTTTTTTTATTAAAGTTGGTAATAAAAATCGGAATGTTAGTGGGTTTAGTAACTATGACTTGAAAAATACATCTGTAATTCTTACGCTGCCGCGAAACCTATACTTCTAAAATGCTTTATCGATTAAGTATCAAGTAGTTTTTAGTGGCTGGCCACTTCAGGTTTCATAACATAAGCCGAAATTAGCACGTAGAACTTTTAGGGTTATCATCCATTAATTGGATCAGTGTGGTCTTGTGAAGTGTGAAATGATAACCCAATGAATTAAGAAAACTCACAAAATTGTCTCTGATACCTCATGCATCCGACGTTTGAAGTTTATCTCTAGATGCAAACTTGACGACGCAATATCATACTTCCCTGAGTTATCACGCCCATCAGACTTAGACTCATACATGGTCTGCATAACGCTGACATTGAAGTTTCACATTGCCGATGACATATTCTGCCGGATAGAGCAAGGTATTGAAAATCTAAGGCATAGACATAAATGTTACTTACTTATCCTCAATCTCATTGTCAACAGACGTTGATGACTGCGTTTCTACTTGTGTAAAACCTATTTATAAATATGTATATATACAACACGCCGATTTTGCAATGGCCGCAAATCTGCACTAGTATGATAGAATGTATGGCGAGAGGCGTATTTTTATAGCAGTTTTTAGCACTGTTAACATTTGGATAGACCTAACATTAATGCCTGAAAGTACGAGTATTCAAATACTTTGCTTAAGTTAAAATGTCGTTACAACTTCAGTTATCTCCTTTAAATTACCAGGTATCACATAAGTTGATGGCCTAGAACATAATAGTTGACGTTCTATTAAGGTCATTTTCAACTTCCATATACTTCGGCAATAGTAAACGTTAATTAAAAATTAATAAAGATACTAAAGGCGTCTCGACGGTTGGTTTTACATTTTCTTGAAGAACTCATAATTGAAGATGTTCTTTATATTATAAATTCGGGAGATATTGCCGTCAGAACATTTCAGGTACGCCCCTAAAAGACAAGAATGAAGAAGAATAGCAAGGGGTTTGAAAAAGGAATAGAAGTAGAGATGCTCTCGAGACTACTGATATGATTATCTAGAAGAAGAAAATCTTGTCACGTGAGTTGTACTGGAGCAAAAAACGTTTGATGAGCGTTTATAAAACAACTAGTTATTTACAGTTTGTGTTAAGCGATTCTACAGAGACTTCTAGAAGCCCACAATAATTAGCAATGAATTTCGCTTTGTAATTGAGTTGGATAAATTTGTCTTTTGAATAAACAGTAATTATCTTATTAGAGTTGGACAACACTGGGTTGTCGAGGGTTTGTTTTACTAGCTCCAAGTGCAAAATAGTTTAAAAATGAGTTATTATTAGATTTGTACATTATGATAAAGATTCACAAGTTTCGATGGGTCTAAATTCTAACAGAATGTTCACTAATCGATTACAAACATGCAGATAACATCGTAAAAAATCTGTCGAAGAAATGCAGTCTTCCGATCAACTTAAGGAACAATGAAAGCATGTTTGAGATGCATTTTTTTAGCTCTGAATGCAAAATGTTGCCCCAGTACTAGTCTGCGTCAACACTTAAAGTAATGATAGGGAGCAAAGTGACTGAATGCTTGAACTACTTCACTTCTCTTGAAAGTCTAACCAGTTCCGGCGAATTTGTGTCCAACAAATAATCGTGGGAGTAATTTGGAGGCTAGGTATATGTTACTGGACAAAATTTGCAAATTGCTTGTTAAGGTTATCCATCTTCGTTGATTGTGGCGGTTAAGATGTATTTTGCATACTCCTGAACACCACCTAATTCAACGGTAAGGCAGGTCAGATAAAGGCCAGGGCATGCCAAAACAAAAAGTAGCATCAGTCCATGAAGCTTCTGATTGTTGATGTGAGTTATACCGGTAGGTGCAGACTATCTGGTTGGGATCTTTGCGATATTGAAGATCAGTGCCTCCAGACTTTGAGCTAAATTGGTCGGAATCAGTCACGATGACACAGATGCACTCATTCTTTATTTTCTCTTCTATCTTGAATTCCACTGTTCTCTGACACACTCCTTTTTACTCTATCCTTTCAGGCTGTCATCAATACTTAGCCATTCTCGTTATCACTGCTGCCAGACCATTTCTGTTTCTTTTGATATTCTTCTTGCTGAATTTATTTCTTTGTGCTGACTCGATATAACAGCCCTAATCAGACTAAATGCGTATAGTGATTGACTGACTGAAATTTAGTCGGTAGACGAAAGAAAGTGTAATAAGGGCCAGAGGACGACCAGGTTTCTGATATTCATAACTTACTAAATGATTTTGTTTACAGTCTTTTGAAGTCAGCATAAGTGTCAGTTTATTATACACAAAGGTGATTCATAACTATCAAACAATCTGGAAGTTTTTCAAGTAGAGGGAAGAAATTGAACTTAATGCTAAATTACTATCAAAACGATATATGTTCGCTGTTTACTTTTGTCACTGTTAAAGAATGTCGGTACATCTTAAATGTATCTTAGAGGAATCCAAAAGTTGTTAGCCATTTTTAAAGAGTAGCTCCTGGAGGTTTGATAATAAACCAGGACCAAAATATCAATAGTTTTTGCAAGCAGTTTTGGTTGAAAGCACTATGACGTCTTATTGATTGCTTATTATTTTGCTATAATAATATACTTAAGTTCGAATGAAAATCAATAAAAGGCACCTGATAACTTATATATATGGGTCGTTGAATGTTCCGTGTCTTATATTTTACATCTGTCTTCTTTTTCAGCAAAGACTGTGCAATACAATTAAGCCAAACAAAAGAAGTAAATCCCCACTTAATACTCAAATGGTTTGCCAATGATCTGATGAATGACAATTTCAATTTAACAGAATCAACAGAGTTGCCTTCTCAGGTTAGTTTTAATATACGAGGTTTATGAATACATCTCAAAATATCCAGTGATATTTCTCAAAAGCTTAAAAAAATGCTTGGAAACGGTTTTTTATCTCGTTATGCTGATGTAATACAACACCTTGGGCCAACGTACATCATTCCCAGGCATTACGTTCATGATTGCAAACTAACTTGAGAATCTACGATGCTAAGTATTTATCACTGATTTTTGATGTCTACCTAGCTAATTCAACAAAATATTGGGCTCTATTTGAATAACTTAATTACACCTGTTACTCCTCGTGAAAGAGCACAGGCCGCCCACCTATATTCTCCATCCATCCCTGTCCTGGGCAATCCTTTCCAGCTCTTTCCAGTTTTTATTCATCCTATTCATATATAATTCTATTTCCCGACCTAATGTGTTCTTCGGCCTTCCTTTTTCCGCTTCCCTTCAGGATTCCGAGTTAGGGTTTGTCTTGTGATGCAGTTTGATGATTTGCGTTATGTGTGTCCTATCCATTTCCATCGTCTTTTCCTAATTTCCTCCTCAGCTGGAAGCTGATTTGTTCTCTCCCATAGTTGGCTGTTACTGATTTTATCCGGCCAATGTATGTTGAGGATCTTGAGTAGACAACTACTCATAAATACTTGTACCTTCTTGATGATGGTTGTAGTATTCTTCAAGTTTCAGCTGCGTACAGTAGAACTGCCTTGACGTTCGTATTGAAGATTCTAACTTTGATATTGGTTGAAAGTTGTTTTGAGTTCCATATGTTCCTCAATTGAAGGAATGTGGCCCTTGCTTTGCCAATCCTCGCCTTTACGTCAGCATCTGAACCCCCTTGTTCATCGATGATGCTTCCCAGGTACGTGAGGAATTCTACATCCTCCAGAGTTTCGTCATCAAGAGTGATTGGGTTGGTGTTCTCCGTGTTGTATTTGAGGACTTTGGTTTTCCCCTTGTGTATGATGAGGCCTACTGATGCAGTGACTGCTGTTACATGAGTTGTCTTCATCTCATTTGTTGATGTGTATGGGATAGGAGGGCTAGGTCGTCTGCGAAGTCCAAATCATCTAATTGGTTCTGAGCTGTTCATTGTATTCCATTCGAATAAGCGTTTATTATATTTACATATATGAAAATGGATTAATTCGATGATTTATTCTAGGATACCTAGCTGTACAAACCTCGAAACTCCATTTGTCTTTTTTAAACAATGATGAGTGGACTTATCTTTTAGAGATGGGAAAAATTGTAGTCAGTGATACAAGGTAGTCATCCTGGACTTCACTTTAAGTTAATATGAATGAATTTCGAGACATCATTATTATCTTTGATTTGTTTTGAAATGTTATAACAAAGACTGAATAAATGATGTAAAGTAGGTTTATGTAGACCTCTGGAGAAATGTTTGAAAATATGGGTCTCCACATTCAACTAGTGTTAATTAGTTTTCAGAAAATTTCACTGAGAAAATCCAGTTCCTTGTATGCCTTAAGTTAAAAGTCATCGACTTCAATGGTACATGGTGCGCCCATGTATAATTGCTCTGAGTCTTTCGTTCACATCATTAATACTTTAGTATGGCTCTTCGAAGCATGAGGTAACTTGATTTATGTAACTTTTAATTCCTTAAAAGGAAGCAGTGCTAGAAATAGCACAGAACACACGATAATTTAGTAATGGACGGTCCAATAGCTTTAAAGCGTCATCGTTTTGGAGTTATCTTAAACTGTAAGATGTTCACTGTTGATCTTGCCAAATATTTTTTGCACAGTTGTTTAGTCGAAGTAATTTTTATATATGTATATATAGTCATTAAAAGTCATTTTAAATATGTGAAACATCTTTTTAATATTTTCATCCTGCTCTTACTATATTTTATGTGTCATATCTTTACTATTTTTATTACTCTTCGTTCTTTAGTTCGATTACTATGACATTCTCTCTGAAAAAAACAGTAATTTGACCAGTTTGACATTAACAAAACCCGAAACAATGTAAGTGTATGCATTTGTTTACATTTTGATTAACGATAATGTTATTTATAATGCTTATTTTCTTAAAGGTATATTGACAAAATCGCCTTATGAGGAACTTCACCAAAATTCTTGCAAATGGTTCTTTACAACTAACTGTTTTGAAAGTAAAACTAAGATTAACCAACAGGACTGGCAACAGTCCTGTAAGGTGGTTTCGGTGACGAATTTAAGTAAAAAAGCATTGAAACTCTATATTAGACAACTACTCTGTTTATTTGGGAATTTCTCACTGGTAGACTCTTGTCGTCGAGTACACTTTAGACTACCTAAAGATGCTTTACATTACTAAAGTTTCTAGCTTAATTCAAACAATCGTATTCGCAAAATTTCTTTCGATGTTATTAATGTTAAACTGCGGAAGAATAAGTATCTTTAAGAGTGATTGTTTTATGAAAGGTCATAGTATTTTGGACAATTCAGTTATGAAAATTTATGTGTATATTTCTTATGGTAGTATTGTCAAATTTTAAAGAAGTTAATCCCTACGATTCAGACCAAAAAAAAGTTAGCCAAGCCTACTTTAACGTATGTTACTTTAGTAACAAGGTATTATCTAATTTGTTTTTTTATCAAATTGAATTTGTCTCTACAGTTTCATTTAGATACACACTAAGGGATAGGCCCATTTCATACTGTTTTAACCTAAAAATAGTATAGAGCAGTAAATCAGTCACTGCAGTGTTTCAACTTTAGGCACTAAATGGCACGTTCAAACCTCACCCACCTTCTTTGATTTGCATGATCAGACAGTTTTGCTACCCCCTATACTCGGAGTGTGGTTCAAAGCTAAAAAGACAAATCTGTACCTAGTAAATGAGTTATTCAGAAAAACTTTAAGAATTTGTGGAAGCCATATGTTTAGGTAGGAATAAGCATAGACTAATAAGTCACATTACTTATAGTTAACTTTACTTCACATGTTCATTTAAATATAATTGGATGCACGGAATTAGAAATGCTAATTTACTTTGTTTTCAGAATATAAATGAGTTAGGCATCAAACGGAATTCACATTTGATTTGTTCGTTTTAAAAAAAATATTAGGTTTGATTTTCATTTTATCTAGAATTTGTCGGGAAGATGCATCTTAAGCCTCTAAATAATATCATTGTTCTTATTTAGATTCAAGATTTTCTATTAATGGTAAAGTTTTAGCCATTATTAGTATGTAATTTCAAAAGCCATATCTTCATCAATAATAAATATGGGATTAATGTAGTGCGTTTATTACTGATATCTTAACATGTTTATGATTTTGAAATAAGATTACAATGGATTCTAGATTAGTAACAGGTTGTTTTAGAAGAAATAGGGGTGCGATCGAGAACACAGGAGTTGAGAATCGATTGTATACGGAATCTTTTGCTAAAATATAAGGACCATACACTGAATACTTCGTTTGCAAATTTCCATCAATTGTCCTTTACTTCTGTATGGTTCTTTTAGTTCACAACTCTTTTCTATTTTCCCTTCTATTCTCCTCAACTCGATCTTCTTAACCTTCCGCTGCCAAATTTTCCACTGTCAATTGGTATAATATACTACTTATGTCAACAGACATATCACAATACTACTAATGAATCGCTACAGGGAAATTAAGTGGTGATGAATGACTGTATTTTATCGGTTTAAGGAACTTCAGAAGTTCATATAACTGAAATTTTCTTCAGCTATTATCAATAACTTAAGATTTATTGTCAAGCAGTGTAAATATCGAGCTTAGGTTTAATGTCATTTAAGTTTATAAAGTTTCTGTCCATAGAGGTCTTAATACGGTGTTTGTATGTATTATTGCCAACAATGTATTACATATTTATTTTATTTTTGATTATTACTGGTAATTTGATTAAGAAAAGCTTCAAGTTAACAAAGCTATAATGCATATGTGATTTAGTCTTTCACTCCAATGTCTTGTAGTAACAATTTGATTGTTATCGATCATAAGGTTAGTCATTCTTGCTTTCTGGTTAAAAAACCTCCAAAATTTAAACTTTACCAAGATTTACAGATATTTTCTGATCAATTATTTTGCTGAATCATTTATGTGCATGAATGTAGCAATTATCAAAGCCCATATGTTCATTCGTGATTCGAATGTTCAATTCAACACAGTGTGTAATTTTATCTCTATGGGTGTATGTGTGATAAAATATTTATTGGACAATTGGCCTTATTTATATGTATCCATATGTTGTAAATCAGACATTTAACTATCAAATATACTGTCCTTTATTATGAAGTATTTATATTGTAATTCCGTGGTTAGAGAAGATAAAAAGGGTATTTTTATTCCTTTCAACTTCATTCTGTCTACTTGATATTGTTCATTCAGTATTATTTATAATACGTTTACAGAAATTTTGCACAATTTTGATGGCATTTTTTTAAAAACAAACTATGATTGGTTGGAGGACCGTTGAAAATCATATGGATCTTGTGTTTTGTTTGATTTCGCGTGAGGTCTTGGGTGCGGAATACTGATAAGTCCTAAAGTAGAACAAATAAAACTTCGAAAATTTCTCATTAGAATAACATGACAGCAAAAATATGATAACATCTTTAGAGCATGATTCTAAGTATTCAACGGATTTAGTCGTTACTAGAGTAAAATCATAGTACCTACTTACTTTGCATCGAAAAAATTGACTAGTGACAACTGAAAACTTGATTGATGTACACTAATTTAGCTTTCTACTTAATCTTATCTCATGTTGTGCTGATTAGTAATGATCTAATTACATTGAAGTTAGGTTGTAGTAAAATAAAACTAAAAATTTACAAGTTGGCTAAGTCAATGAAGTTAGAATTCCAAATAGGTACTGAAGGCTTGTTTTATTCTGTAAAAGTTTCTATACTAATTGCTACACATCTTAAATTCTTGGGATGCTTTTAGACATTATGGGAAAATATAAGATTTTAAAAGAAAAGCATAATTATAATATTACTAAAAAGGTGTGATAAATTAAAAGATGTTTCATTTAATGTTTTGTAACCGAATTAAAAAAGAGAGTAGTTGTCGAAATAAAGATAATTTTAAGCATTGTTAATCTGCAAATAAATACATGTTATGAGGATATGATAGCGAAAATGTTATGGTACATTCAACACATAAATTCTACATAAATCGTTACTAAGTTTGAAATTTCAGTTATAGGTCATGTTTTAATGTGATATTCATTTATTTAACAACTCAGGAGTCAATATACGATAAAAGGATATGAAACGGTGAGTTGTTTTACTATCGACTTGTGGATTATCCGAAATCTACTTCATTGTAAAGACCAAGAGGAACTTTTAAAATTATGTTGTCGATTTGTATTTAATAAGTATAAGCTGTGAAAGGAAAATTTAACAACTGATTTAGTTAAAACATTTTATTATATTTTTAGTCTAATATAAAATATTTGCTATTCAGTAACAGTTTATATGAGCAGCTTAAATTGTTAGAACGGAAACATTGGACTCGTAAAAGTGACTGTTACAGGTATGAGATTTCACTGGGTATAAAGTACAATAATCAATTTTTAGAAAAATTAGCACTTGTTTGCTGCAATACGCATTTAACATCATTCAATTGGCTTAAAAAACCTTAAAAAGGTATCATAAATATACTTGGACTTATTATGTATATTTATAAATGTAGTTTTACGTAGAATCTTACGAACTACATGAAATATAGTACATTTCAATATATAAATAATGATGTAGTTATCAATGTAAAAGGATATAGAGTTTATTACTTTAAATAAAAATTTATTACCAATGAATTTGCTTCAAACTATATAGAGAAAAAAAGCAAAAACATTTTGATTGACCTTTATTCTATTTCTATTTACATATTTAAATCAATACGCCCATGTTTATTGTACCACAATAACCTTTTTTAATCTTTCAGGTCAATTTTATGAAAGGAACATTTTATTAAAATTATTAATGAAATTTGGCATAAATTGATTATTTATTCAAAATTGATTAAGATTTTAGTACCAGTTTTATGAAGATGATCGTTAGAATGATGTTAATCATAGGTTTACACTTGTTAAGATTCTTCGGAGAGTACTCTAATCGATTTAGATATCGAACATGGCCACATTGGTTTACTTACCTAATTTACTATCAAAAATCAAATGATTAAGAATGATTATAGTCTCTCATATCACTAACAATAAATCATTCATTTTTGCTTACTATATTTTACCTTGTTCAATACTTTACTCAGTTTTTCCTTTCTCAAGTCTATCAAAAGAGAAGAATCTAAAACAAATGAACGTCAGGAACATTTAAGAATTATAACTCATGAGTTATACAGTTAAATAAGTGTTATAACTGTGAGACGGCAGCTGATTAGAGGGTAGCGAATTATCGATCGGACCAAAGACGCGCAAACACGTAGAACGACCTAGGGTTCTGATTGGTCCCGCTTCCCTATCTAGCCCAGTAGTTGAGTCCAGAACGCAAGTCACAGCCTCGGATATATGAATCATTATATTTCAAACATACGCTGTTTATATACCAATCAAGCAGACCACATCGTACGATAAAATAGAAATAACATTCTACAATATTAACCAGTAGGAAAATGCCACGTTAAATAAATATTGACCAGTAAGGTGATACCACTTCATGTTCAAGGATAGCACTAGGCTTAACAGGATAAGTTTTGGGATACTTTCCTGAATATCCCAACAATAAGTAAATTATAAAGTGACAATGTATAGCAAACTAAAAATCTTTACCATTCAACCATTAAAATTTTTTAAATATTATGCCGAGTAATATACTTAATACTTCATAAAAATATAGATTGAACGAAAATATTTCTTCCCGATTAGTTTTTTTATATGGGCCTTTCATCAATATAAAGGTTGTACAAATAAGTATAAAAACGATACCAAATAGATGATAGTGAGTCAACTTAATAATATGGTAATCAATTAGTAACGCGTCTAGAATATTAA